ATACGGAACTCAAAGGAAGAGCTAGGGAAACTGTGAAAACCTCAATGATTTCGCCGAGTAATGTTCCTGAAATCGTTAAAATGCCATAGATGAATTTTGGCAGATCTGAGTGGATTGTACTTTTTCTGATCAAGAAAATTGGACAGGTGCGAGAGGATAAATTTGAATCTTGCTTAGATCTTTTGAGCGCAGTCAATAATTTGGTGATTACAATGAAAAATGTCAATTCTTCACTTTTTTTTTCAACCCGGAATTAATGATTAGTTTGGTGAATAAGCTTTCCTCGATTTAGAAATATAACTGGGGGAAATTAAAATATCAGAAAGATATACAGGGAATATCAACTCCACTTGAAGATTTCGCAAAAAGGTATAAAGAAGAAGTAAATTCCATGGCATCAACAAATAATCCATTTCAAATGTACAAATGTGTTTCAAAAAAAGAAACGGTAATGGTTTCAGACAAAATATAACACCAAACGTAGATATACTCCAGGTTGTGTGTTTTGCAAAGACGATAGTCATGATATAAAAGAATGTGGCAAATTCAAAGAAAAGACTGCGCCAGAAAGAAGAGATTCGGCACTGAATTTGAAATTATGTTTTCTATGTTTACAAACAGGTCACATGGCTAATAGATGCTTTTTAAAAACAAGATGTGAGGTCGATAATTGTAAAGGAAAACACAATAGTCTCCTTCATGTGTCAAGAGGAAGTTTATGCAACTCACCGTCAACACATGTACCGAAAACTTATGTGAATTTCTGGAACTTCATCTAGCTTTTCCTAATATGACTAATAATCAGTCCGTGCAAAGCTCATTGTTAAATCATCTGAAAATGAAATTTTCAACAGGTGATGATCGACTGTATTGTCAAACAGCGCCAAACTAACTGACTGTTATAAGAAAACAAGTATAGGTGAGGCACCAGTCAATCTAATAATAACACTGATGATTTTCAAACAAGACTCAACCTCTAACGGAAGCAAGAAACTCTTTAGAAGGTTCGAAATAGATGAACATTTCAACCTAGCAGACCACTATTATAAAATATTCATGCAGTCATTGTTCACTGTGGTTCTGGCGTTGAATTTGGTCATTATTACGCCTTGGTCAAAGAAGAAACGGACTGGTTTAAGTTTAACGATAGTCGTGTCACGAAGTGTTCTGGCGATGCATTGAATTTATTGGAGCCTCTGGAGACACCCCACATTTTGTTTCATAAGAGAGTTAGATCAAGATCTTCAGATGATGTGGTGCTGCAGGTTTTTCCGGGGTTTCCTGCAGCTGCTTAGAAGGCAAATGCGCCACTGGAATCAATGAAGTCGCCCCGGAGCGCCAATTGATTTTTATTGTTGTTTTTATTTTATTTTTATCGTTGTTTTAATGAAATGTTCAATATTTACCAAGCCACAAAATTGATGTAGAAACTTTGTCTCGTAAATTTCCACATTCAGATCCTAAAGTTCTCAAATCTGTTGAAAATGCTAAACCTGAACTTCTTATCGAACAAGATAATTGTGGTTTGATTATTCCACGTCAGGTTATTCAACCAAGAATAAACCAGTCTATCATGTCTAGATCAAAATTAGGTTGGACTATTAGCGGGCCTATTAATAATTCATCTGAAAACAAAGAACACATTCATGTCAATCTTTGCTGTCGATATACCGAAGATGATGAACTCCATCTAATGGTGAAGGATAGTTTCAAAATGGAAGCTTTTGGTGTAAAGGTGAAAGATAGATCCATTTACTCTGTAGAAGATCGCAGAGCTTTGGGGATCATGAATGAAACAGTACGGAAAATTGATGACAGATACGAAATAGGTCATCTTTGGAGAAATTCTGAGGCAACATTACCTGACAATAAATTGAAGGTTATGCACGAAAATTAGAGAATGAAGAAAAAACAGAAAATCCGAAGAACTGGTTTTTGATGCTGCAGCCAAGTCTTTTCGATACAGTTTTTTGGCCCAATATTTGTTTCAATTGGTCGTCGAATGGAAGAGAGAAAGGGGGTACTATGAGGGCTATCCATATTGAGATTGCTGCAACAATTGACATGTGTTCAAAAATTCTTGCTATCAGACGATTCATTTCTCGCCGTGGATAACCTAAACAATTTATCACAGACAATGGAACAAATTTTGTTGGAACGGAAAGAGAGCTCAAAAAAGCTGCTGGTATGTTGGATTATACGAAGTTGTCCGATGAAGTTACTTGCCGGGGAACTGTGTGGAAATTCAACCCTCCAGCTGCTAGACATATGGGTGGAATATGGGAACGTATAGTTCGTTCCGTAAAAACGACTCTCAGGATTACTTTTGAAAAAGCTTGCCCAGAGAAGAAGTTCTTCAAATCTTGATGGCCAAAATTGAATATACACTGAATTCTAGACCTTTAACACAGATCTCAGTTGACCCTAATGACCCAGAAGCGATAACTCCTAATCATTTTCTGTTACTGAGACCAGGTGGTGTCGATATCTACAGTGAAAACAAAAATGATATACTCGGGAGAAAACAGTGGCGGTTCGCTGAAAGTTTGGCAAATTCATATTGGAAAAGGTGGGTCACAGTCCTATCCTGATTCCAAGAAGTAGGTGGCATTACAGAAGTGAAACTATTGAAATAAGTGACATAGTTGTAGCAAACGATGAAAATACATTTGGAAATGACTGGTTACTGGGTCGCGTAACTGAAATGTTACCTGTCGTCGTTCGAAAAAAGGCAGCTTCATTACACCAGTCACTAAACAGTGTATTTTGCCTACTGGGGTGAAGACATGACTTCTTCGCGGGGTGGAGAATGTTGAAGACACTGTATATAAGTTTGATATTTCATTTTGACAGATTAGTCACTTGTTTAAGACAATTCAATATTGAGAATTGACTGTAAGTCAAGTTGAAAAAAAGTTGCATTTAAAACGGTATCACAAGGTTTATCAACCCAAAAAGTTTTAACAGAAATTATAAATAATTCTCAGTGATTTTTGTTTGATAAAATTAAATATACCTACCTAGTATCTGTTACTTCAATATGTGGGTATTGTTACATTCCATTTTTCCGCAATTAATTTTATACTGTATGCGAGACATCTGAACAAAAAAACCCTTTATGCCAATTTTAATTTATAGATTCTAACACATCAATTATTTAAATTAATATTTTTACAGATCTGGGATTCTTCTGAGCACAGTAGTAATCCAAATAAAGATTAAGATTAGTTAGACATTTAAAACAAGCATCTAGATGCCAATAGGAGTGTAGAAATGAGTAAACATAATAATATTATGAATGAAGATGGTGGACCAATACCTAATAGTATATTTGGGAAAGAAAGTTTTTGGCTTTCTACTACTCCATCTTGATACAAAAAAGAAGAATGAGGGAGTCTTCCAAAAAAAGGAAGGAAGTAACTCTATATATGGATGTGTAGATCATGCAAAGAAGTAACTTTCAGACACAAATTGAAAGAAAGTCCTCCTGAAACAGCTATTTTCATATTTTATATGAAAACGGAAAATGTTATTGTAATCGAAGTGTATTGTGACGATATAATAATGAGTATTCGATAAAAATTTTCGTGTCAATATGGACACCATCAACTTTTTTTTAAAAAAGGACCTGTCTTTTTCCTAACAGCAATAAATTCACAATCGAAGGGTATATCATATTTGATATTTTTATAGCGTTTCATTTGAAATAACTACCATCATCAGTGACAACAGTTATTTTAAATTACGGTCCTGTCGTTACTTCTTTTGTAAAGTGTTTAAATTTCTTCAAAATATAATTCAGACAGCCCAATGAATTCGCCAGGTAGGTACCCTAACACAGTGAAAATTCGTACTTTTTCGTTTCGGAAATTTTTGTATTGCCGTAATACTTCTTTTAAGGCTTATTACTCCCTAATCAATAATAATTAGTAATATTTTTATAATTCCTAATCCTGGAAGTAACAAAAATATCAGTTTTTAGCTAAAATTCGATTGTTGTATTATTTGGTATGATCAAATAGCATCTCAATTCATTTACCATCTTAAACGCGTAGGCTTTGCTTGTTTTCTATGGCAGGAAAAATGAATGCGTTGTTGATATCTGTTGAGAACTGTCAGACGTTTATGAACATATCAAATTTGTATTCAAATGATGAAAGGACTGATATGCTATTTAGTTATGCAAAATCAAATAGAAATCCTCTTTTGGCAAGGAATATGTATGTTGAGCTATACCAAAATCGTCGTATTCCGAACATCCAAATGTTTAGACGATTAGAAAGAAATTTGAGAGACTATGGTGCATTTGACAGAAAGAAAACAAGAGAACGTGTGGTTACTGGGAGTGTGAGTAATCAAATAAATGTTATGAGCAAGCAAATATAACCACATACAAATTTTCACACTGAAAACATCTTTTTTTTTAATGTAGGATTGTCCGGTTGAACCGGTTATCGGCCTTTCTGTTGTCGGGGTAAATACAACCGTGGAACGGACGATTTGGGATGCAACCTTCTATGGAGGTACATAATTTTTCTAGTCTATACGTCGACTTGATACAGCTTCTATCGAGCCCACTACATTATTCCAAACGAATAGTGTAATATTGGAACAGAAAGCATATTTGTTGCAGCAGCTTTATTCTTCCTAGACAGTTCCGATGACCAGGGGCCTATAACACAACCACTACAAGTCTAACAAGTGTATAAATAAATTATACAAGTGTACCTAGATATTCTGTAACATAAAGTAACTAGTGGGGGGGCACTGGTAATTACGGGACTTTCTCTACAATTATAGTATCTTTTCGTAACACAAAAATGAGACTTGTACAGTCGTGTTAAGTAATTGTCGACAATTGTAGACAATTTTCTACCTATCTTGATTGATAAGTAGATTGAGCGTACTAGTGTAGTGAAAAGTATTTCATCGTGAGCGTATATCTACATATAATTCAACTGTCGATATGTGGTCAAGCGATTCGGATAGTGAAAACGAAAATGGTCGTGCAGTATATCGCATCTCGGGAGAGAAGTAACTTTGTCATACTGACAGGCGGGGAATTTGTGGAAAGGTTCAGACATAGTCGACAACACTGTCAAAGTCTTCTTCAAGATATAGGTCCAGCCATAGCGAATATAACGATTCGAGGGTATGATTTGTCACCATTACAGAAACTGCTTATTGCTCTGCATTGGTTTGGAAACGGAGGGCAATACCATGGAGTATGTGATATGCATGGAGTATCAAAAATGACCGACAATACAGGGAACGTAATAGAACGTTTTCATAATTTGGCAGGATTTCCTGAAGTTTATGGAGCTGTAGATGGAATCCTCATAAATATGGATGCCCCCACAAACAACGAACCTGTTTACGTCGATCGCCATGGGAAGCACTCCATCAACTGCATGGCTGTATGTGGGCCTGATTTTATTATATGAGTGCAAATTGGCCCGGAAGTGTGCACGACGCTCGGGTACTCCGTAAAAGTTCTGTGTTTCGTAGAATGGAAAACGGTTGGAGACCTCATGCAGATGCTGTCATTCTTGGAGATTCCGCTTATCCTTTGCATGAATGGTTAATTCCACCAACCTATGACGATCCGATGAATCCAGCGCAGACCGCATTCAACAGAGCTCATAAACGGACTCGACGCATTATTGAAAACACTTTTGGCTTGAAGGAAAAATTTCCATGTTTGAACCACCTACGAGTTGATCCAGCCTTCGCAGTAAATATTTTTAATTGTTGTGCAATATTACAAAAATTGATGAAGATGATAATATGGTATTAAATGGTGATGATGATGATCGAGGTGACGAAAACAACCTCAGAGATAACGAAGAACCTCCACTAGCAGCAGCAGCTCGAGCTAGAGTTCAACAGTTTATAGATTATTTTAGGATAAATAATTAGCGTGAAGAAGAAAAACCAACTTTAATTAATTAAATATGTAAGATAATATGATTGTTTTTTACGAAACCAAATATTTAAATATGTGGTACGGTGATCCTCTCCATAAGAAACGTAGTCTCTTGCAATACTTTGTGTAAATTCGTATCTTGGAAGGTTTAGTGCAGTTTCCAAATGTAAAATCTCTAGTTTGGTCTTGTGATTTTGTATTTTCAGGTGTTCAATTTGCAAGTCAAGTTTTACTTTTTTCTTGTCTGCAATTTCTTCTTGACGTGTCATGCTACGCTTCTGTTTTCCTAAAAAATGTAAACTGTGTGGTAGTAATTGGCAGATGTGAACTATTAGATAAATAATTAGTTAGTGTTTGTTTAATAAAAAAATACATAAAACATTTTAATTAGTAGTTTCTCCCAAACCAAACTGCAAAGAAGCCATTACTAATAATGATTTATAAACTAGAACTAATAATGTTTTATAAACTTCACCTATGCGGCTGGTTGAGGGTACGCCCGGGTCCTGCGTTAATATTCTTGGCTGTTCTGTTGTTGTGCTGTCTTGAGGTAGCGGTTCTGCATCGTCCATTTCGTCCAATGATGCTGGTACCCCAAGACCTACAATCACTGGGGACTCTTTTCCTAATATATCTAGCACCATATTGTCGACATCGTTCAATTTCCCATGACCGCCTGTACCCGTTTTTCTGGCATTATCCACTTTTCCCTTAAAATAAAAAGCATATTTTGGATACAATATCATGAATCAGGGCCTATGATTCTAATTCATTTCCAGCAATTGAAATATTTTAATTATTGAGAATTGACACGTACGGTTACTAAGCTTAAACATAATATTTTGATTCCAACAATATGCACTTGCCTATTAATATTGAAACACCTCGCATAAGTTCAACTAAATTATAAGAGTAACAAAACTAGGACACTACGCTCTTACGTACCATTGTAACTTTCTTCATATTTTGCCATAGCGTGTCTCTGGCATATGTCCACTCTTTATCTGAAGGCATTAATCAAACACTTTTTGCAACATTTGCTAATTCTTTCCATTTCTCAACTTTGTCTGTTTTTTTCAAACGGTCGGAAAAGGCACCAAATATAATTTCTTTATTTTCTTTAACTTTTTGTAAAAACTGCATTTACCTCTCAAATATTACTTGTTTGCTAGCCATAGTTACAAATATTATTTCGCTTGCAGTCCTTGCACTTCACCACTAACACGAAAAAACGTTAAGACATGTTACACCACGAATCTCGTTACAGAAAACAGCAGGTAAATAAATAAATCGTTTTGTAGGAACAACATATACAAGTGTAGAATATTTTACTTGTAGCTACAAGTATATGAAATTCTCTTATGTTACGAAAAATTAGGATACTTGTAGCTATAAGCGAATTACTTGTAACTTGTAGACTTGTTACAATTGTAAGATTTGTGTTATCGGCTCCAGATCTGTCGGAGTTTTCTGATACTTGCCGCGAAGAGAGTTCTTCACATCCAACGAAATTACATATTAAGTACAGGTAGCGACATCTACCAGTAAATAGGTCGAACTTTTAATGCACTGTTTGGAACCTTTGGTGTAGTTATAAATGTTAGTGGAGTTCCATCCCAGTTTAAATCATTTTAATCTCCATCTTGAAGATGATCACTCGGTGATTGAAACACGTGTCGAGGTGTTAAAAATAAAAGTTGGAATGAAACTCTAGTAATATTCAAGTCAAGCTTTGTTTTATCTGTCATTCATTGTATGTATTATTATTCTTTGAATAATTGAGTTAGTCTGAAAAATCATCGTGTTTTGGGCCCAGTTTCACATTTTTTAGAAAAAGTAATAAGTTTCTCAGTTTTTATATCATGTGAAATAACTGGTAGTTACATCGTAAATGTTCCAAAATTCAAGGGACGTGAAAATTACGATGAGTGGGCGTTCTTACTTGCTTCAGAGAGTTTGAAAATATGATTGAAAAATAAAAGAGTTCCAAGCATTAAGACTTTTAGGACTGATAATGTCAAAGAATTATTTTCGTCAGAGACCTAACCCTAACACTCCGGAACAGAATGGGATGTGTGAACGATTCAACCAAACTATAGTTGAAAAAGCAAGAGGTTTTTTCATATAATGATATATAAATTTGAGAAAAAGTTTTGGGCAGAAGAAATTCACACAGCTGTGTATTTGAAAAATAGATCTCTAGCAACAGGATTGAACCAGAAGACTCCCTATGAACTTTGGACTGGTCGAAAGCCAAATGTCAGTCATATACTGTAGTAGTACAGTATTGGCACATGTTCTATGGAAAAACACCTGGTGAAACGAAAAGGCCGTGAGACATTATCTTGTTGGATATGCCGGTAATGTGAACGGCTGTAGACTTTACAACCCTGTGACCAACAAAGTTAAAACAGGTCGAGATGTTACCATCATGGAGTCAAACTCAGAAAGAGTTGACAACTCAAAAACAACAGCAAGTCTTCGGCAGCATAAAAACTCAGTTAGCACCGACTCAGATCGATCTACTAGTACAGTGATATCAAAAAATGATAGTACTTATGTAGAAGAGAAAGCAGATGCCAGCAGTTCCTCAGAAGAGTTTCTTGTTACTATACCATCAAAGGAGTTGAAGAATATTACTCTAATCCATTGAACTACAGCCAGAAGTGCGAAGAAGAAAGAAGTCAGACATATTTGATTTTAACAATATGTGCGTTAAAGCAGATTTCAATCTGTATGTAGACCAAATAACTTACGAAGCGGATGGATGATGGATGTAGATGTTACTACGTTACTCAACACTAAGACTTTCGTTAGCTTTAGGTGTCAAATATAACCTAGATATATCTCCTCTCGATGTTACTACGCCACAGCGTTCTTAAATGGTCATTTAGATGATCCTGTTCATATGAACTTTCCAGAAATTTTTTTGTGTAATGATAGAGGAAATAAGGTTCTAAAGTTGAATAGGGAAATTTATGGATTGGTATAAGTGTGTCTAGGATTAAGTAATATAAAAATTGTATTATAGTTAAGGAAATAACTGGCAACATCGCGCATCCTGGTGACTTGGCCGACTCGGCCCTAAAAACCAGTCCACAAATCACTTACTCTATAGACGCTTCACGGTCGAAGATGCTTTTGGAGTTTGTTGTTCCCACCTGTAGAGGTCGCAGCAATAATTTGTCAAATCATGAGCCTGCGTAGTTGACGACAATGCTGTCAGCTGGCAACGATTTTCAGCTCCCTCTATAACATAGAATCGGAACTAAACAAATAAGCGGGAAGTTTAAACGCAACCTTTGAAACTTTTCCTAGAGATCAATTACCTTAACACCAAACTGATATTTTTTGCACTCGACGAGCGTTTTGCTAACAAGGTTAGCATCTTCTGGAATCAAAATAAAGTCATTGCTATGGTTAATTTCAATACCAAGATAGAAATAATATTCATATTCATAATTCGCATATGAACGGTAAATAATTGTAATGTTATAAAGTTTGGCATAGTATTACTGGAGTTTTTGCCCAACACTAAATCGTTATTTTTAACACCTCGACACGTGTTTCGATCACCAAGTGATCATCTTCAAAGAGGAAGATTGAAACTAGAAACTGATGCGAGCTTACCCTATTTATACTATAAAGGTAACCCATACAGGTAAACCATCCAGGCGTACCAACCAAACAGGTATACCAACCTAAATTAATTTTACAATTTTGCCTTATCTATCATTTTACAATATATGTTTATATTAAACAATTTTCAGCTATATAAAAATTAATATCACAATATTGCCTATCCAAATTTATTTTTGCAATGTGTCCTTATGTAGTAATCAGTAAACCCAACAACATTATTTTATTTTATTTTTAACAAGCTATATAGTATGCTCTTTGGTATAGTTCCGTCATCGTTATTCATAATATTATTGTGTTTACTTATTTATACACTCTCATAGGCATCTATTTGCCTGTTGTTGTTAACTTGTCTAACTAATCTTAATGAACTGAAGTCTATGGAATGGTTTTGTTGCAAAATATGATGGGCGACTGCTGATTTTTCAGGTCTTCCATATGAACGAAACACGTGTCGAGGTGTTAAAAATAACGATTTGGTGTTGGGAAAAAACTCCAGTAATATTCATTACTACACCAAAGGTTCCAAACAGTGCATCATAAGTTTGGCATAGTAAATAAAACAGGTTAATCAATTAAAACAATAATATAATATCAAGCACCTAAACTAGTACATGTGGTGGCTTTTTCAGTTTTTTAAAATTTTATTCAAATAGATTTTATATGCCTGAATCTTAACNATCTAAACGATACGGAAATTCTGCACTATGCAAGGAAGGGTTGCAAACTCAATTATTTACTGACGTATTTGAAACACCCCGTACATGTTTTTTCTTAAACGATGAGACACCCTGTATGACACACATGTTATTTTTGTAATTCCACCGCGTACGGATTTTTTTCTCAAACGTCGATGACATATTTCAATTATTAAATCTAATCATCATTATTATTATACCACTTTACCGATCGAATATCGAATTAAACAAGTTTTCACATTTGTCATCTTCACAATTGAATGGATTTCTGTAAAATGAAAGGGCTGTATTGAAAAACACAGTTTCATAAATGCATATGAATTGGGAAGCTTCTCAAATTGACCAATCATATTTTCAAGCGGATCCTGGTTCAGTCGTCTTGTTAACAAATAATCAAAACCATTGGACTTCAGAACCTGCCAAATATTCTTCACATTTTTTTTATGACAAATGACCAATTCTTCAGGCTGGGAGGCCTTCTTTGATCATTTTTCTTTATTCTCTGAAACTACATTCCATCCAGCAGTAACAGGACTTCTCCATTCCAAAAACGAAGGTGATCAGAGGTGTCACTTAAACCACACCGTAATATTTCCCTTCTCTGTTTTTTTTTAACCATTCAAAGAGTCAAATAAACGATCGAAAAAAAAAACAGTAACTCAGGTGCATGCTCCGCATGGGTTCCGATTTTGTTTGCAAAATCTGCAATAAAACAACAATAAATGTAGTATAGACATAAACCTATCAATGTTGAGTTTGATATGTGAGTTTCAAAGTAAACATTGTATCTGATATAAATATAATTGAGCTATGCACCTTAACAAAAATTATGTAATGAAAAATATAGAAAAGAGATACTCACCAATCTGACTAGCCAACTGAAGAGTTGATGCAAATTAAACTGAATGTCTGAAGATTGAATTAGGTTGAAAATTCATGATGAAAAATCTGTTTTTCCGTTAACCAGCTGTGGCTGTCGAAACTTGTGCGAGCTAAGGACTAACGAGATTTTACGTTTTAACGTGTGATTCCTAACATAAAAGATTCAGGAGAAGTCAGACAATGTCAAGGTATGAGAGTCAGAAAAAAATTATTTATTGTTAGATCAAGAACAATTTGTTGAACATTTATTAAAAAAATAATATGGAAAACTGTACCCCAGTAAGTATACCAATGGAAGTAAGATTAAAGCTTGAAAAGGAAAATATCTGCTCTACTTAGTATCCTTATAAGCAATTGATAGGAGGTTTGCTTCATTTGTACTGGCATACCTATCTTATGCGATTTGTTACCTCAGCCAATTCAATACCTGTTTCAGTAAAACCAATTGTAAACATGATAAACGAGTATTAAAGTATTTAAAGAAAAACACTTCGCTTTGAAATATTTGTTTGCGCAGTTCATTGAGCTCTGGCTCCTTACTGAAAGCTTCGAACAGCGCTAGGGAAGGAGTTCTAAGTTGGGTGGCTGCATGTGTTCATAGGTATTCTTCCAGATGGATTCCACCTG